TGCGGGCTAATATTAGCTCCTGGCTGTGTAGTGGAATGACATCTGAGGCACAGACAGGAAGAGGAAGCATGGCGGGAGGTGGGAGAATTAGAAGGGAGTAGAGGGTGAAAGGTAGAGGGGTCGTGGAGATGAGGCGAGCGTGAATGAGATGAAGGAAAAGGACAGTGGAAAGAAAAGAAACAGAGCACAAAGGCGTCAGGAGGAAGAGGAAAGAGACAGGCAGTGTGGAGTAATTTCACACGCCTGGTTGCTCCCCGCAGACAGCACACCCCCCTCCACTCCAAAATCTCACACACATGCACACACACCCACATACTACATCTCTGCCCCCCACCCCCACTGGCTGGCGGGGTGGGGGTGGGGGGCAGGGATAGCGGCCCTTTGTTTGACATATAGCTGCACACAAAGACATTCAGACCTGAAATAGCAATGGAGAGTACACCCCTCCACACACACAGAGTCAGACACTCTCATCAGGACCACTTCTGATTGGCTCAAACTAAACAACGTGCTGATGCTGGAGGTTGCCTCTATAATCAAACAATGCTTCTGGTTGCATTTCTCTTTCCAAACGTCTGCACTCTTCTTCTCTGACATTATAAAATGCACTAATAATGAAGCTGCTTCCAAGAGAAGCTGCAAGAGACCTTTGTCTCCCCTCAGACAAAAGAGGAGCTATTGACTCTACAGAGCACATCAGCTCGCTCTGAGACCATTCCTGTCCTGAGGTGATGCGAGTCGACTGTCACCGGCATCCTCGCAGAGACCCGACATGAATCATTACACTGAATGTACAGTTCTCAGCGATCAATGTTTTTTTTTTTTCGTCTTCCAGTTTTGTATTCAGAACTGAAGCCAGAGTGTCTGTTGTGGGTAGGATTTTTTTTAAAGGTTTGATGCATATGGATCGTGAGTAAGAGCAGCATTTTGCCTCCATATGGTGCCTGAACGATGAAGGGGCATTCAGTGATAACCCGGCATGAAAGTGATTGGTGCACCAGCGTGCGTGTCTGATGAAATCAGCCATAGGTTAAACACTGTTGCATTGTCGGGGCACGGGAGCAGAAGTGCTGTAGTAAATGAAATGTTAAAGCTTTACTTACACCTGTTAGTGCTACTGTGCCGCGCACAAGGGGGCGGCTGCATACTGCATACAGACTTTATGAAAGATTAACGCCACCATGACAGAGATGCGGCAGCCATCTTTGTTTACTACCAGCTTTTCTTTTTGTGTATTACACTGAAGAAGAAACAAAGGTTCGGTCTCGAGGGTTGTGGTGGGGCTGATTTTGTGTTAGTAAAAGAACATCCTACTTTTTTTCTGTTTTGTAGTTAAGGCTTCTTTCCATATTTCAGGGGGGATCTTTTCAATGAGATGACAAGCTTTCTGCAGGAATCTGTGCTAAATGGATTTCACACCACACTCCTCGCAACAGGGGATTTATGGCGCTGGCGGGCAAGAGAGCAGTATCTGCCACCAGAATGTCAGCACTTTCCAATCCGCCATTTGAACTGCAAAACACTGTGGGAAAACACTGTACAAGATAGTTCACGGCATCAGCCCCCCTTGGAATCCTTAAAAAAAAAACAAACAAACAAACTTGAAACATAAAACGCAGCTGGTGTTTCTCCATGATAAAACCAGATGTAAAACCCACGGAGGACACGAAGTCTGTGGGTATATACAAAGTGTAAGGCATTTCTGTTTCTAAGAAGTCTTTGTGAACGTGAGGAAGCCCAACCCTGCTTTTTTTTTTCAATATGGAAGTTATTACCACAGTGCTTAATCCTGCACACTGTGTGCAGCTACTTAGAGAGAGAGAGGGAGAGTTAAAGAGAGAGAGAGAGAGAGAGAAAGTGTGTGCATGAAGGGGAGGGGAGAGAGGGGGGAGAAAGAGGTGAGGCTTTAATTCCAGCTGAGGATGGCAGGTATGTTAAAACCAGATAAAACGAGACATTAATTGAGTGACAGAGTTTGCCAGTGGGTTTTATCACAGGATACGTGTGTGTGTGTGTGTGTGTGTGTGTGTGTGTGTGTGTGTGTGCAGGCTTGTGAGAAAAAGAGGATTTATGCTTGTGTGGTCTTACTGAGTCTCTCTTTTTTTTTTCTTTTTTTGGTTTGCTGGTTTTGGGCCATTCCTAGGAGCCCGGTGTGTAGGCAGGAGGTGTGAGAGCGAGGATAGGTGAACCAGGTGCCGCTTCCTTCCTCAGCGTGTGCAGCTGTCTCAAAAGCCTCTTGATCCCAACAGAAACTTGAAATCAGAGAACTTTGATAGGCCACTCGGAGGGGAGGCTTTAAAAGATGTGAACGTCCTTGCACGTCATTTCTCTTCAGATGCTGTGATTTGTGTCGAAATCTCCAGATTCTCACACAGTTCGAATCACCTCCAGGAAAGAGCAAAAGTGACCCTTTTTCTCATACACGGACATACATGAGTCCCGAGTTTGTTAATCAGTGCTCAAAAAGTTTTTGCCACAGTTGAAAGTTAATACTATTCAAGGCCTTGTGTGAGTGCGTCTCCAGCAGCCTCCGTCTGACGCTTTTAGCGGGGCTTTGAGGACACATTTGCTTTCATTTGAGGAGCAGACCGATGTAATTTTGACCAGACCCTGGAGTCTCTGTGCTCATCTTTTCTATTCCCATCTCTTTTTTAGGCTGCCCTGATTCCATATCCTGGTTTTTTTGTAGAGGAGGTGAGGGACTATTGTAGCACAAAGTACAGCATTCACTCTGATGGTAACAGAGATACATGTGAACATAACGCACCCCTGAGTGCGCCATATGACGCCTCATTATATTTCACTGACTGATACAGTTCAGGCTTTCACAGGAATTAAAGGCTCGGTTTGCCTAAAATACAAACAACACTGTTAGCAAAGTCAGATAAAAGCAACATTATCCACATGGATGCATTAACCTAACCATGGATTTAAGAGTTGTTGATAATTATAAATGGTTTAAACAACTTCTTGGTTCTTCTTCTTCTTCTTCTTTTTTTTTTTTACAAATACTAATATCAGTTTGTGTGATCAGTCAGATGATCTGCATATGACTTTGAGCTGACAATGAGCAAAATGGGCCTCATTCATGCATTTGTAAGCCGAATTAATTAAAGCGCAATGTATGGAAGCCTAATAGGTGATTATGTATTTAAATGAATGTTATTTGCATAATATATCCAATATATCCATTTTGTTAATGCTGGTAATCGATTTTTGTGATTGCAGCCTATTTCCAAACATACACAAGAATAATAGCAAACAGTCACTTTTTAATGTGCTTACAAACAACGATAAACGACATTAATGACTTTTATTATTTATTGTTATTGTTATAGTTCATTATTATTATTCACCCTGAATGAATAATTCTGTTGCATAGGATTTTGAATGACATAAACAGAATATGCATAAAACACAATAAAGATAAAAAAAAGAAATAAATCCCTGCATCAGTGGCATCAAGTACAACATGACATGATGTAAGCATGAAAAAGTGAATCGTATTTATCATTTAACATAAGAATTTATATTTTAGTAGCTCCATAATGTAAAGATTATCCACCATACAGTCTTTTCACTTCATAATGTGAAGCTTAAAATTTAAAATTCTATTTAGACGCTTCTTCCTTCCAAGTAACATTTTCAGATTAGTTTGTTGTTAAAAATGAAATATTAATACTTGATAAAATTGTAAATAGTTATGTAATTATTCTATAGCTTTTGCACAGTTCTTGTCTTTTTCCTTCTCCCTACAGTTCTGAGTAAATTCATTTGCCAAAAAATAGACAAACACATATTAAAGTTTTACACAGTATAAGTGTATATATAGTAATTACATTTTCTACTGCCATTTTAAGGAAATCATTATTGTGAGTCATTTTGGATGCAATAATCATGCTGTGGAAATTTGATATCATGACAGTCTGCAGCTGCACCCTGTCACAGAAGCAGGTAATCACCTTTCAGATACCTGTTATGAAGAAATCATGGAAAAATTCAAATTTTTTACACAATATTTTTTATTGTAGGGTCTACCTTACATTATTAAGCACCTTGAGGCGACTGCTGTTGTGATTTTGCGCTGTATAAATAAGGCTGAATTGAATTGAATTGATGATATTTTTTTACCATCTTTAATTCCATGTTGTGGTAAATATATTTTAGCCCTTTGTAATCTGCTATGACAGCACAACTTTTGTTATATTAAAAATTATAATAATAATTAATTCAAACAAAAAAAACAACCAGATGAGGTGTATTATTTTGGAACTTTTCAGTGTAATCAAAGTGATGTTTTACCGCTTTTGCAAGACTGGTTTAGAATTTAATGCATACAATAAAATCAACAGAATTGAATAAGAGTACAAAAACATATTTGCAGGGAATTTTGTGATCAAGCTGTTTAATTATTATAGACTCTTAATTAATATGAAGTTATTATATCCTGAGTGCAAACCTGAATCCATCCTTTTGGGGACTGTGTCTTGCTGACACACCCAGCACAACCAATAACTGTCTCATCTCTGAGGAAAAATATTCAGATTCCATTTAGTCTCCTCTCACACTTAAATCAATAACCATCCACTCTGTTACACCCCAACAACCTCTGCCTCCATTGGTCCAAAGACGGCAGTTGCTTTTTCTCTGAGCAAATTGATGCTGATAATCATAGGTATGGAGCTGCAGGCTGTGCGTGTGCATGATTAACGAGACTGCTATCAACACAAAACGGACCTCAGCGCCGCAGCGCTGCTTGGGACAGACATGGTCAACAGGGAGGTGCATGTATATGTACACACGGATGCAAAGCACATGCATCATATGCCTGTGTGCAGTTGCTGACCATGCTTATGTGATTTATTACAGTTAATTAATACAAAGATTCTATATGTGTGAGGAGTCCCAGTCCAGCCTGTTTAACACACACCACTGGCCCTCTATTATTATTCTTAAAGGAAAACAAATTAATTACTCTGACATTTGCTTTCCTCCCACAGGCCGGCCGTCAGCCTTTATTTGGAGAGCAGAAGCTTTTCCACACTACCTGAAATCAGCTGAGAGGTAGGAATTACTGCAAATGAGTCTGTTTACTGCCTGTTTGCTTCAGCCGTGTGAACATGAAGGTCACTTTCATTTGGCTTTGATTGCACTCATTTGATTGCAATAAATTTATACTTCAAGTTTCTCCTTTTCAGATGTAATAGTTGCAGTGACACCTTGTAACCAAACTCTGTGTGAGAAAAGAAAAAAACAATGCTGTTCCACCCATGTCGGAATTTAATTGCACCTAATCATGGGTCCAAATTGAATAATAATATTTTTATTATATTTTATTTTTATATTTTATTTTTATATTTTAATTGAATAAAATAAATTACATTTAACAAGTATAGCTCCATAAATCAATGAAAAGCATTTGCTTTTTTGTGGTTTCCACTGGTTACTCTGGTTGGCAGTCAGGTCAAGGTCACACTCTGCATGCCTCCTCTGTATAAAACTGCCTGTTTGTTCAGTCGGGCTGGTTCCACTGCTGATTAGGAGGCCACTGTGGCTGATAGTGTGAGGTGGCAGCAGGACGACTCCTCGTCCTGGAAACTTCCATGATTCAGCTGAAATGCATCAAGGCAGCTATTTTAAAGGCGACTCTAACATTCGGAATTATCCATATTTTTCCAAAGACGATGATACAAAGGCAGTTATTTTAATTAGAGGTCTTATAAATTGTGTTTTATATATATACAAAAAAGACATAGTGACACAGTAACAAAGGACCATTATTTCCTAACATGTCTATAAAAATGAGTGGGTGCTCATTTATTTTCATATATGGATAAACTGTTTTTCAATTACTCTGTGATAAGAAATGTAATTACTAACTAAATGGGTTTTTGGAGAATTTTTTTCATGAATGAATGAAGCAACATATTCATAAAGTTCATCACAGTCAGTAGGAGGTGGTTGGGGTGTATGATGGCCATACTAAGTGCTGACTAATTTATGTCCAGCAAAGCAGCTTTGAAGAATAAAGATAAATAATAAAAATAATAAAAATACAAGGTTATTTTTTAAATAATATTTTCTCACATTAAAACAACTTTTTATCGCATGTTCTATTTGTAATGATTCACAGGCACACATATTATAATCTACTTGCTCCAGTGTTTTTGGAGCAAGTCGGTTTTGCCTTGCTCCAAAAGCATTAAACCAGACATCAACTGTCTTACTGCACGCTGACGTCTTTTACTTTTTAGAATTTTGATATATTCTGCTACTTTCACTTGTGGTGGAGTAGTTTATTACTTGTACCTGCTGGCAGACATAAATCCAGTTAAATTCTCTTCTGTCAACACACACTGATGTCTACAGTGACAAAATATGATGAATAGGCTCTGGTTCTTTACACACAGTGTGAGCTACATGCAGTGTTGGTCAGTTCTAACATGTATACTACGAAAATGGTTTCTGCCAGCCGGCTGAGCTTCACGTCAAGCTGTCCTCTGGCGTAGCTGTGTGTCCGCTGTGACAGACCACTTTCATAAAGTCTCTGCCTGTCAGTCCATTCAGCAAATCATGCCCCACTGGAACTACTCTCCTTCCTCTAGCTCTGTTTTCTTTCTCTCTCACACACACAGATCCCTGGGGAGTTTGGCAGACATCCTACTCAGTTAACTAGAGGGATAAAGCAAACTGTCTGCACAGCTCTTGAGGAACGCCATAGCAACCTTTTCTCTCCTCCGAATAATCCCACACTTTCACTCTTATCCCTGAAAGTTCTTCCTTTGCTCGAAAAATCGACACTAAACACACAACAAACTTGCTCATAAAGACCAGGAGATAATGCTCTTGTGTCTGAGAATGTTTTAATTAGTTTTGAGTTCTGGGTTGGATTCAATCAGATAATCCTGCCTCTGCTCGTCTGCACCTGCTTCGTGGCTGTGAGTCACTGTATTCAATTTGCATTTGCACTCTTCGAAGCATGGAACAAATTACATAATTGCTTAAATGCTTGAATGTTTTTTTTTCTTTTCCTTTCTCTTTTTTGTTACACAACTGGCACATCCAGCTCCTTGCACGATTAATCATTTTCATCCCTGACTTCATTTTTCTTCCATCATTTTCACATTAGGATTAATATGACAAAAGCTGTCTCCTTCACCTGGCTCAATCAGCTAAGCTATATTTCAGCCTTATTACAGATCTTATCATTTAATGTGGCCTGGAAATGACTCCAGCCACGGTTCAGCCTAAAGGTAGTTACCTCCCATTTTAAATTGCTCTGCGGGAAGGATTATAAAAGTGACACACATTCTGGGATGCTGGGCCTCAGAGTTCACACTGGAGCTAATTAGGGAAAGCAACAATTTAATCTGTGAGTCGCTACCACAGGCTCTTGCAGATGACAACTCAATTTGGTGCTCTGTACACAGAGAGGAGAGAACCAGATGTGAACATTTCTCACATGTGTGTGTGACAAGAGTGCTTGTCTTCCATTCCTTTCTATCCCTCCTAACCTTCCCTCACCCTCCCTTTCTTCACCTCTGTCTCATAGCTTCCTTCCTGTCTCTTTCTGTTCCCGTCTTTCTAATTGTGGATGCCAGCTGCTTCAGAGCCTCTGCTGCTGCTGCTGTGGTGCCACGCCTGCGAAGTGTCCAGCCCAGAGTCCCTCTCTCTTTTCTCCCCCTCTCTGCAGCTTCAACACAATAGCTCCCCCATCATGAAATTATCAGTGGCTCCATGGCCTCTCCTTGCGACACCGTGACACACCACTTTGTTGCATTGTGCCTCTTACTTGCAGGCACAGATGGTGGTATAGTTGGTGTTCTCTGTCAGAGTGCTGACACACGGTTCCTAAAAAGGAAAAGAAAAACAGCAGGGAGAGGGATGAGAGTGACAGTAAACACTGGTTAGCGCTGTCCTCTTAAGGCAAAAGGTGGGAGTCCCTCAGGTAGTCCAGCTTCCTCCCACATCCCAAAGACATCCACATTAGGCTAACTGGTGATTCTAAATCAGGATGTGCAGTCAAGTTCTGTACAGCCTACAGACTTTTAAGTGGACGCTAAGACTAGAGCAGTATATAAATACAAAGTCCGGTTCCATTTCCACACCCATAAGATGCTTTAAAATTAATTTCATTAAACAGGATGCAGCAGGGTTTAGATTAAAGGTTGCTGATCCTACCAAAAAGGCACTAATATAGGTGACATGTCAAAACATTAAGGCAGCAAAGCTCAAGAAAAGATAACAACATACCAGATTTTTCCAGTTAAATAAAGCTAATACTGCCGTTTACAGTCAGCGTAAAAAAAAACACCGTAAAAAAAAAATCCTAAAAAAACAGTAACATTCCAGCAGCTCGGGCGCCAAAATAATACCATAAAATTACAGAAAATAACTTGCATGAAAATACGGTTATTTTCAGTAATGACAAAACAGTTTGTTGCCCTAACTTTACATGGAATTTTGCCTTTTTCAAGTGCTTTTAAACATTAAATTAGGAACAATTTAATGTGATTAAACAATGAAATTACCTATAAACAAGGTCAATGAATGCGGCAATATGAATAATAATACTTAAATGTACAGAAATATACAGTTAACAGTTGGTTTAAATAATAATTGATTGCATTCATATAGCACTTTATGAGACCCTCAAAGCGCTTTACAATTCCACTTTATAATTCCCCTCTGGCCATCACCAGTAGATAGCAGGTGAAGTGTCTTGCCCAAGGACACAACGCCTGAGAGTGTCCGATCCAGGGCTTGCACTGGCAACCTTCTGATTACAAGGCGAACTGCCAACTCTTGAGCCGCGATCTCCCTAAATAATAATAATAAATATATATGTAAACATTTTAGAACACTATATTTATTTAAGTCCACAGTATGCTTATAATTTGCAGAATTTGGAACTGTTTGCATTTCATCTTATATAATTAATTCTGTTGAAGCATATATATTTCACATCTTATTATCCAGGATAATTCCATTTTTTCATTTTGTTTCCAGTGTTAAAATAGTAAAATATTCCAGGTCTTTTGCATTATCTTAATCTCTTTGTGCTATGCTGCATAGAAACAGCCCTGTTGCTGAGCTATTTTCCTAACTTAAACCAAAATAGTGTCCTCCTCCAGTGTAGCTCTGTAAATTATATTTGAACTGACAGAACAATCAGTATGATATCCACATCAGTTAAATTAATTTTTTTAGAGATGGTAAAGGCATTAATATAAATATAATGTGGTGTACAAATTTAAAAACTAAAGATTTGACATGTTTTTGTGAGCTCTCTGGCACAAAATGGAAAAAGACATATTTGTTAGTTGGTTTTGGTTCTTTTCTTGGATTTGTAGGCACAAAGAAAAAAAAATCTCAGAGTTTTCAGAGTGCTGTGCACATGTACCTACATTTGAGCATGTGTGTTCCTGTAGCATCCTCTAAACCACAGAGACTTTGATAGCAGCCCATGCAGAGCAACAGACACAGACCAATGGCTTTCTCTAATGAGCAGACTGTTGTTGGTCTGCCGTGGGGACCCTGCTTCAGGGCTGGCACACATTGCAAGATTTTATGAACTAATTAAGCACTAAAAGTTGCCTTCTTTGACAAGAAAGTCCAGATTTTTATGCAAAGTCAAAGAAAACTACTGGGGGATGGGAAAAACATCGGAAATTTCATTCCTATGTTTCATTTGCATTTGCAGTTCAAGTTTAGACCAGATCTACCAGCACAGAAAGAGACAGTTTGCTGTTGATAGGTGTTAATGAATCTTCCTGAAGCTCTGCCACTGTCCTGATATGACCTGGAGATACTGCCACATTTACTTTGGAGAGAAAATGAAGGGTTAGGTAAGTATTAAAACCAAACAGCTGCTTAAATTTTAGCATGTATAGCTAATTTTGCTCCATAAAACAGCTTTCTTATGTTTAACTGACTGTTTTAAACAAAGCTGACAGGTGGATGCAAACACAAGTTACCCCTCTATGGGGATTCACCTCTTCTAATTCCAGTTTATGCTTTGTGTAGTCTTTGTGATGCCTTAAGTGCAACATTCAGAGTTTAAT